TGCAAAATATTGGTAAAAATGGCCATTTGGGATTCATCCGCGTTCATACTCGACAAGCAGTGCACTATTTGACAGCAGAAGCTAAAATTTCTAAACTTAATGTTTCACAGCACACTATTTAGCTACAGAGTACGGAGCCGTTTGGGATTCAGTCTGGGTTTGATGCTACTTCTGACTGAAACACAGACATTTAAAGCGTGTAAGACATTCAGGTGACATTCTTTAGACTTTCATAATGCCGTTTTCAGTGATTCATATTGTAAGTACTTTAATTCAAGTCAGTGATATTAATGTTGGAGTTGTTTAGCATGTTTGCTATCTTTTAGCCCGTTAGCTAGCTGACCAGTCTAGTTTTAGTTAAGAAAATAAGTTTTCAGCCCCTCAGTTTAAACAGAAAACAGATTCTCACTTCATCAGTACACTCTGTGCTCTATGCGATCAGCATTAGAGTCCATTAATCCATTAACAGCAGAAGGGTTTTTCGTGCCGTGGTGCAGTAATACAGAGTTCAGTTGTTGTGAGGCGGTCATAGGTGTGGTATATTGTGGCTTTCAATGCGGCTCAGCCAATCAGATTTCAGGACCGGAACTATCCATTTTATAAAGACACTTATTCTCTCCATACGTATCCATTCATTCCTGAACAGCAGCAGTTTGTTGAGTTTTGGCCTGTTGTGATGTATATCTTTGTGTGTATATGCGAGATACAATAAACCACAGCAGCAGGAGGTCACATAAATATGTTTCACTCAAAGGCAGCCACTGTCTCTCAACTCACATACACGTTCATACAGTTGGGTGGTGATGGCCGAGTGACAGAGCAGAGGAGTGGGCAGAGGGACAATGGTGAAGGTTGCAGTGGAGGAGGAGGTGTGAATCGATGCTCTTTGACTTCACTGTAGCCATCGCAGGGCGTTTAGACTCTTTCTCTCTCTCCCTCCTTCCTCTCTTCCCTCCTTTCTTATCACACTGGCACTGCTAAACGTTTTATCAGTCTAAAACTGCAGATTTGAGAGAGGCGTTTGTTTATTGGCCTTGAGGCGTTATCATGTATCGATGACATCACCTGCCTACATTCGGATCTGTGTGTGGAGGTGTGTGTCTGCAGTTATATATTTGTAGCTCAGTGGGGATGGGCATTTAACCAGCTCTGCTACTTGGAAAACATTTATTTGAATATCCCAATGAAGAAAATGTCTTATTTTGTTATAAATAAAAACCAAAACAGAAGTTTTAAAGGAAGGAGGATTACCACAAATGATCATTCCTCTGTAATTAGTAGTGTCAAAGTTAACGCTTAGTTCAACCCTTCAAACCATCTGTAATTCAAGGCTGAAGCCCAGCTGCTAAAGCCCAAGGCTAAAGCCCATGCTGGCTGGAAGATGGTGCCACAGATGGCAGCCTCAGTGAGAGAGAAAGAACAGCTAAGAATTTTCTTCCTGAGAGAGCTCAGAAAATTCAACCTGCAGAGTCTGATGATCCAGTTCTACACAGCGATCATGAGTTCATCCTCACTAGGGCTGGGTATCATTTGAAAATGTTTGATACCAATACCGATATGATACTTCCAATTTGTTATCAATAGCAAAATGATACTTTTTTCAATACCTTTTTTCTAATTGTGACAAAAAGGAATGATTATTAATAAGATTTTCTTTTTCCACCTCATACCAGGCAGGTATTAGTGTGTTTGACAGTATATCTCTGAATGGGGGCTGATAGCTGGGATTTATTGCTTTTGTCATCTCTCTGAATAATAAAAACACAGAGAAAAACGGATTCACAAAGTACAAACATGTTATTATAACCACTGTTTTAGGGACACCATAGAGCAGGGGTGCCAAACTCAACCACTAAAAGGGCCAAATTAAAAATTAACATTTTGCTGTAAACCGAACTGAATATTGTTTATTGAAAAAACTTCAACAGTTCATTTTCTGAGCTGCTGAGACGACGTTAAGTGTTTTTATACAACAGTTAGTTCCGGCCACGCAAGCTGATTGGTTGAGAGGCGTTCTAACCGTGCTGTTATTTCGCTGTAACATCACAGGTTTTTTACAAACACTATATCACTCCGCTAAGATGCTGTTGCTAAGCAACGGGTTTCATAGCTGTACGAGACGCTCTTTACTTTACTTCTTACTTTGTGCACAAACAGAAAATGGACACTTTTAAGATCACATTTGACCGACAGCCGATTTGGTCAGACTCTGAAGATGAGACGACACTAAATTCCCAAACTGTCGTCACCACTTAGCAGCTTTTCAGTCGGCAGCTGTGACAGGAGAACAGCTAAACAACCTGGAGTCAGAAATGAACCCAGTACCATTCGCCACGGGCTAATATTAGTAGAAAATTAAAATACTTTTGTGGGCCAGATAGGATTGTGTCACGGGCCTGATGTGGCCCGCAGGCCTTGTGTGTGACACATGGGCCACTGAGGGGATAAGACAAATGACCTATCCCGCATATCCTACCTAAACCAGGGAAATTCAACCGTCAAAAAGGGCTGCAATCCTTTAACAGTAAAACTGGTTACTGCTCTGTGCCATTCTTCAACCCTCTCAATGGACATCCTTAGCTTTTCCGCCACAGTGAAAGGTTGTTTCTCCGTGGGCTACGGCATTAGCGCGAGTAGAACTGGTAACACTGTCAAAGCCCTCACCTCCAACATGAAAACGACATGCAAGTTAATAGGGCTCATTTATGAAACCTGAACATGAATTATAACAACGTCACAGATATGTTTATACGACACCTGAATTGTAGCCAGCTAGCTAGCTAATATGTGCTAGTTTTATGCTAACATTAGCTGAATCCTAACTGGCTTTCAACGCTGACAAACGGCATAGTAACGAGCGTTAGTTTCTTCTGGCAAAGCGAGAAACTTGCACAACAAACTGTTAACTTGCCTGATGATACTTTATCACTGGAAACACTGGTGTCTGAGTGTGGTTGTAATATATTTAGCCCAGAGTCTCCTGTAGTGCTGTTCTTCATGCAGTCAAAAATCCTGCAGTTTTCTAGACGGAAATTAATTCCATGTGTAATCAAATGTTTCATCAGATTTGACGTATTACCCATTTTGGAAGCTACTATCTTAAGGCACTTGTTGCACCTGGAACTGTCCTCAGTAACTTATTCGAAGTAGAGCCAGACTTTTGACCTCTTTGGCATGTTTAGCTTGCTGTGTTCTCTCTGCGTTTCTCTGCATCAGGGAGCCAGTCGTGTGTTTTCTTCTTTTCTTTTATTTTTGCATTAGTAGTAAGGTTTACTCCAGTGATCCCTCATGATTTGGGTTTTATGCAAAGTATCGAAAATTGATCTGGGCACTGATTTTTTTGAGCCTTTTCCTTACATCAGAACATCGGAGAGGATCATTGGATGTATCTGCCAAAGCTTCAGAACATCTACAACAGCAGAGTGAAGAAGCATGCTGGCAAAATAACAGCTGACCCCTCTCATCCTGGACATCAGCTCTTCCTGCCACTTCTGTCTGGTAGAAGATTCAGATCCATCTAAACCAGCACAGCCAGACATGCTAACAGCTGTAGCGCTCAGCAACCACAGTGTCACTTCACACTTTAAACTTAAACTGAACCAACAAACCTTTCTTACAGTTTTACAGTAACTCCTCCTGTAGAATAGTGCTCATTCGCACTACTGTACAAATACATTTTTACAAATTCATATCATTCTGTAATGTTCTGTATGTAGTAGTTTTCATAGTATAGTATCAGTGCTTGTTAATAGTCGATGTGCTGTCTGGTCTGTTTAGTCTGTTACATGTCATACATGTGTGACTCACCAACACAAATTCCTTGTATGTGTAACATGCTTGGCAAAATAAAGTGATTCTGATTTTGATTCTGATTCGGCAAGAGGTTCCATTGATGTCTGTCTTGAGAAGTTATTTTCAGCCTCTATAGTGGTGAATTTGTTTATCACTGAAGGACGTTGAGTCTTAAAACTCAGCATTGATGCAGAAATATCAGTAATATCAGTAACTCTGGCACTGAAAGACACCAGCCAGCCACTTCATTAAGTACACCTCCTTGTATCTACACTCATTGTCCATTTTTATCAGCTGTTCTTCAGTGGTCAGGACCCCCACAGGACCACCACAGAGCAGGTATTATTTGGGTGGTGGATCATTCTCAGCACTGCAGTAACACTGGCATGGTGGTGATATGTTAGTGTGTGTTGCGCTGGTCTGAGTGGATCAGACACAGCAGTGCTGCTGGAGTTTTTAAACACTGTGTCCACTCACTGTCCACTCTATTAGACACTCCTACCTTGTTGGTCACCTTGTAGATGCAAAAAAAGAGACAATAGCTCATCTGTTGCTGCACAGTGTGAGTTAGTTATACACTGTTCTGTCATCAAAATACAAAAAAGTTATTATTTTATTTTATTTGTTTTTTTTTTTATAATTTTTTTATCGCAAGTGTAAATTTAGGTTGGGGTTTGGGACAGACACCTCCCGATAGAAAGAGCCTATAAATGATGATTTTGTATTTAGCTTATTGCTATGTCAGTTAACCCCTTATTATCGCAGACTTATTACATACTAAGGCCTATCAGTGACTACAGGGACTTCAATGCAAACTGGTTGAGCTATTCTCAGGTTACAGAAGTGTGTAATAAAACTTTGGGCCCTGATCTGTTAAGGGATTAATACTTTGGGTTTAAATTGATCATAACATAATGCTTGTAAATATCGAAGGTCTGAATACTTAATTATTCTACTTAATTTAAAGGGTTTAAATTGTTTTTACTTCGGGGGTGCAGTTTGAATTAATTCGGTAGAATAGTTCATATTAATCTATAGTAGTTACTGAATAAAAGGTTTTAAGATTAATAATTGGATAGTAGGACTAGTAAGACTAGTGTTGAAGAGGTTAAGCAGATTGCATTGTCATGACTGTATTGTTATGCTGATGTCGTGTTTATGGGTTTGTGTCTTTTTAAACTGATGGTGATGTGTTTCCTCTCTCGTAGGACTGCACTGTCTACGAGACGGAGAATAAGATCCTGCATGTGGTAAGCTCTGTCCTCTACTGCTGCTCTTCTCTCCATCAGCCCTAATGCTCGGTCTCATGTTCTCTTATTCATCACTGACCAGAGATCTTCAGATCCAGCCCTTGAATCTAGACCAGTTTCTAGTCCTGGATTTTGTCATTACTGGAAGTCAACTGAACTGTTGATAGACTGATTGGGTACTTTGTGTCACACCTACCAGCGGTTACAGTATCCAGGACCTGAAAATGGATTTGAGGTACAGATTTGAAGATCTCTGTCTCAGCTGAGGTCTAAACTGCTGTTCAGAGTCTATGTTTTTAGTGATATAAAAATAAGTTAGTGTCAGATAGAGTATGGTGCAAAATTAATTTACTTAATTTCTGGTCAAAACAGAAGATATGTAACCCAAAATTACACAGAATCCTCAAGAACTAAAAATTATATAAGATGTTTCTGTATTTATTGTGTCCACTCTTTACCTTTATTACAGCTTTCGTACTTTTCAGCAGACTCATTTTCAGTTTTTCAAAGACATTTGCAGGAGTATTTGCACACCTCCAAAGTTCAGTCTTAGAAGCTGGTTTAGCATTTTCTGCTTTTGCACATGTGTAAAATTGTTCTAATATGCGAGTCCAGTGCAGCTTAACAGATTTTAGTTCATTTGCTGGAAGCTGTAAATAAAAAGAAGAAAACTGAAAAATAAAGAAAGCTGTATGACATGAGAATTGTCACAAAATTAATATCGAGAATACCTCGCTTGAAAGGTGATGAATGAATTTCGAGGCAGATAATAGGCCCTTTTCACAAAAAACGGAAGTGCATAATCGCTGGGTAAAACAAGTTCCGCTATTGCCTTTCGTACAGTTACTAACCTCAGAAATACAGGCATTCATATGACTTCAGCCACCACAGAAAGGTGTCTCACTTTATCTTTGTTATAGTTGCCAAGATTGAAATTCGAAGATGTGTCCAGAACTGTTAGAGAACCAAACACACAACAATGCAGGAGTCCAAACTAAATAAAGGATATGAATGATTTGTGGAAAAACTCCTTCACAGCTATCAGAGAACAACGTCAGCTAAATTAACATCTACAGCGTGATAAATCAATGGACAGGTGAAAATACTATAACCAAAATGCTAGATAAGCCATATGAGCTGGATGTTGAAACAGCTTGCTAACAATAAACTAGTTAAAGTGGCAAAAAGTAAGTGTAACGTTAACTTGTTAGTCAGCAGCAGTGAAATACTGACACAGAGGTTCTTTAGCTCTCTATGACAAAGTTTATTCCTTTAATAACTGAACAAACTCGTTTTCCTCTGCTCATCTTCAGCTGACAAACCTTTGAAACTGAAATACAGCTGTTTTCGCTTCAAGCTCTAATACTTGAGTGAGCTGTACACGCTCAACTCGTCATTGCTGCTATTGTAATTGCTGTAGCGGAAGCAGCATCATCCTGCAATGGCTACTGCCAGAAGAAAAACTGCAGAAATGTGCAAAGGGCCTATTGGGTAATCCAATTATTTTGTGTTCTTAATTGTAATTATTCATGATTAATTATATAATTTGACAACCATTTAATGTACATTGATACAAGTCCTTCTTTAGGGTCAAACAAGACAAATGATAATTAACCATAATTGACGGTTAATGAATCACGATTAATCACATTATTTTGTGTAGTTAAACATAATTAATTGCGACTCCATTTGTGATTTTTTCCGTTTAAAAAGCTGTGTTTTTTGTTATAGTTATATGAGCAGATAAACTTTATGACAGTGTAGGTGTGACTCAATTCAGTAATTCGGTAACAGTCTGGTAGTGTATGAGCTTCCCTCTTACAGTGACTGTGGTTCAGTTCATGCTCTTATCTGTGACTGTAATGCAGTGCTGGGTTATATGAGCCTCAGTCAGACAGACTGAAATAGGAATAGTGATTTCAACACGAGCCGTTTCTGTGCAGGAAGTAATATAATCTAAAGATTTCGCTTCAGTCTCTGGCACAGAGTCTCCGCCGTCTTCACTGCCAGCACTACACACATACAGGCATTAACACAGCTAACAACAGTCCCCCCCACACACACTCACACACACTCACACACACACTGTTATTGCCTTGTGTGTGTGTGTGTGTGTGTCTCAGGTTGAGCCGGCGCTGCTGGGCTGGGCACAGCTGTCATTCTCCCCGAAACCCGCCGCTATAAATACCTCCACACCCTCCGCGCCCGCCAGCACCGGCTTTTATATCCCACCACACACACTCACACGCCTACCTCTCCTTAGTGACTGTGTGAGGCAAAAAACACACACACACACATATACACACACACACACACTCACAAACATATAAACACACAACACTGGATGAAAAACGAAAAAGAGAGTGAGAGAGAGCAACAAGGGATAATGAGAGAGAGAGAGAAAGAGAGAGAGAGAAGTGAAGGGGAAAAAAGCAATGAACGAAAAGCAATAAGAAGAGACAGAGGAAGGGAAGGCAATAGGGAGAGGTAGAAAGAGAGACAGAAAGGCAGGAAAAGAAAGCAAGAAAGGGTGCCAGGGAAAGTGTAGAATTGGAGAAAGAGTGAGAAAAAGAGAGCTAAAAGGAAGGGAAAGGGAGAGAGAGAGAGAGAAAGAGAGATAGGCAGGGAAAGCAAAAGAGAGAGAGAGAGCAAAATAGAGAGAAAACTGAGGGAAAGGGGGAGATAGAGTAAGAGAAAAAAGAATGAGAGACAGAAACAGAGACTTGAGGAGAAAAGCAGAGGAAAGAGAGAAAAGGAAGGGAAGTGAGGGAGAGAGAATGAGAGAGGACACTATAAAGAGAGAGATAAAGAAAAGAAGGAAAGCAATAGAGAGACTAAGGGAGAGAGGCAAGGGGAGAGGGAGAGAATGAGAGTAAAAAAGAGAGAGGGGGGAGAGAGAGAGAGAGAGAAAGAGTTAGAGAGAGAGAGAGGGTGAGATAGAGAGCAAGGGAGTAAAGAATAAAAGAAAGAGAGAGAGGCAAGAAGAGAAGAGAGAAAGAAAGAGTCGGAGAGAGAGAGAGGGAGAGAGAGAGAGAGGAGAGAGCGAGAGCTGTTTACAGAGACGGAGATTATAAGACTTACAGGCCCAAAACAGAAACAGCAAACTGAGCCAAATGAATAGGAGGAACTGGAGGGAAAAGAGGAGCGAAAGCTGACAGGATGTCAGAAAGAGGGAAGGAGCGAGTGAAGACGAGAGAGAGAGATGAAAATGTAAACATGCGGAGAGAGCTGGAGAGCAAAAAACACTACAGGAAAGACAGAGAGACTGACAGGCACGAAGGGTCGGATCAGGAAAAAGAGCGCGAGAGAGAGGCAAATAGCATCAGGAGGAAAGAAGGAGGGGACGGAAAAGGGAGAGAAGCAGGGGGTTTGTAAACAGAGGAGGAAGCGAGACTTGTCGCTGTTTCTCTGAGGAGAGGCAGTGCAGTGTTTAGCTGCTTGCGGTGATGCTGAAACCACTTGACTGAGAGAGCTGGCTGCAGTACAGCACCTCCTCTCTCTCCCAGTCTGAGAACACGGGCAGGAACCATTACCAAACGATCACACAACCTCAATACAGCCACCTCAAACCTCCCTCCCCAGCAACAAAACCCCTTTCTGTAAAAAATGAGAGGTCAGATCAACTGAGAATGATGTAGTATCTGATTACATAGCCTTTCTTGAGTTGACTCAACTTGAGGACACCAGAGTTCACCCAACTCAAACTTCATAGCTGGGTCAAAAATTCTCCCAGCCACTGTTTCTAGGTCTGCATCTCAGTTAGATAAACCAAACGGAATTTGCATTTATTTACTCAGTTTCCCCACTAGCTGGCGCTCCTTCTATCACACAGTCCCATCTAGCAAATTTTTTTCTTGGGTTTCTGGATATGGACAGCTTTGGCCTTGCTGGGATTCAAACTCACAACCTCCTGATGTTGGGATGCATTATTAGACAGCTGCACCACATGAGACGATGCCATGCAACATGTCTAGCTCATTTTATTTACCTAACAGAGATGCAGAACTAAAAAATTAAGAGAATTTTTGACTCAGTTAAGAAGTTTATGTTGTGTGAACTCTGGTGTCCTCAAGTTGAGTCAACTCAAGAAAAACCATGTAATCAGTTACTATATCATTTTGAGTTGTGCTGACCTCTCATTTTTAACAGTACTCGGACGTCCTTTCTCCTGACCAGTATTAGGCCTTGGTTCTCAACCGGTTCCCATGTGAACACTTACCTATAGCTTTAGGCACTACAAATGCTTAACCTTCAATATCAATACTCTGATAAACCACCTGTTTACTGCAGGTATGGGAGCCCTAAAGTAGCACAGATACGCTGCCTGTTTAAAGAGTGGGGACACCCTTAATCACCACCATGGTAACAAAACCTTTTTACAGTTCTAGACAGTTTGGACAAAGCAATAAACTTTGAGAGGCCATATATTACTTTGCTTTTATGTCAGTTGAAAGGATAGCTTACCAAAAAATTAAACACACACAAAATGGTATGGTACAAAAAGTATGTGGACATCTCATTCCAAAACCATGGGCATTAACATGGAGTTGGCCCTCCTTTGCGGCTATAAGAGTCTCCACTCTTTTGGGGAGGCTTTCTAGAAGATTTAGAGTGTGTCTATGAGAATCTCAAACACTCGACAGCCCCTCTCTGTGAGTTTGAGGCGTCTACCACTTGGTGGCTGAGCTGTTGTTGCTCATAGGGTTGTTGGTAGTTGATTGGCCAAGAACTTCGCTTTATAGTTTTGTAGTGGAACAAAAAGCCTAAATAGAAAACTATGAGTGAAATATGATGTTTTTCCACATCTGGGCTGGGGGGTTCGGTACGATACAGTTACAAATCGTGATCACACTTCTTGTGGTCATTTCCAGTGCCAAGTGACCCTGCACCATACCTGAGTACCTGTGCTGCTTTTGGTTACCCTTCTCACTGGGGAGCCAAGCCTGTCGAACCTGAACGTACAAGTGGAGGTTGTAATGGTGCAAACGCAATAGTCACAGAATCATCATGCGAGTCACTGTAGCCACATGACCACCACTCCAGCTAGCCAGAATCACTGTCTGTGACTCTCTTATAAAAACAGCAAAGGGAAAATCTGAACTTGAAGCTCCTCCACTGTTAACATTACATTTGCATATGAAATCACATGACAACACAAGCGAAAGAAAACTCCACCTACTGGTTTTATAATGCGATGGGAAATGGAGACAAGTACTCGACCAGGGCACGGATAGTTCTGGGTTTGAATTTGGATTTGTAACTGTGATGTCCCTGTTGCATTCTGGAAAAATGCCAATAGACTATCATTACTTTATAGCTATATAACCCTTGTAGCTCCAGTTGCTAATTAAAGAAGCAAATGTTTTGAAGGTGAATTCCACTAATTTTTCAAAGATTCTGCTTAATTCAATCATTAAAGTGTTAATGAAGACATTCAGAGTGGTTTGATGTAAAACGCTCCATTATAGAGAGATTTATAAAGTCAGAATTGTGGTGATAGAAACCACATCCAAAGCATTTAATGCATCTAAAAGCTCCCTCACAGAACATGAAATGGGTATGAAATGGTTATGAATAAAAGCTGCTCTGTTGGTGGTAACCTGTATTCTGTGTGTGTGTGTGTGTGTGTGTGTGTGTGTGTTGCAGTGTAAGACCTTATCAGGAGTGTGTGACCACATCATCTCTCTATCGTCGGACCCTCTGGTCTCTCAGTCAGCTCATCTGGAGGTGGTTCAACTGGCCAACATCAAACCTACTGAGGGACTGGTAAGATCACACACACACACACACACACACACACACAACACAAACACACACACATTTCAGTCACAGCATGACTCTAGTAGTCTATGTGAGAGTATGTCTATATCTGCACGTGTGTGTGTGTGTGTGTGTGTGTGTGTGTGTGTGTGTGTGTGTGTGTGTGTGTGTGTGTGCTGGGTAAAGCAGATTTTTCCTCCCCGCTGCTGTGGAGGCTCAGTGTGTGGGTGAGATAGTGCTAAAAACGAGATTAGGCTAAAATCAGATAAAAGTGCTCCACTCTTGGTGGATTTTACCCCTGCTACTGTGTGTGTGTGTGTGTGTGTGTGTGTGTGTGTGTGTGTGTGCGTGTGCGCATGCGTGCACAAGACTCATTACAGTGTCCCTCTTGCTCACACAGCTCTGCCTCCAATCAGCTCTCATCAAGCCCCTCTGCTCTAATAAACCTGCTCTCTATTAGCAGCACTAAAGCTGTGATTCAACTTTACGTGGTTGAAATAACAATGCCGACCCACTTCCCTCTCCATTCATCCTGAATTATAAATCACTCAGTCACTGTATGAGGGAGTGTGACTTTGAGAAATTGTCTCTTTTATTCACACATACATACTCTTTGGATATTTTTGGGTGGTGGGCCACTCTCACCTAGCAGTGACACAGACAGGTGTAAAAGCCCCAGGAACAAAGCTATGTTGCCGGTGCCACACATACTACCTTATTAGTGTCACTACTGTGCTGAGAATGGACTACCACCAAAATAATGTCTGGTCTACAGTGATTCTGTGGTCAGAAACTGACCAGTGATGTGGAAGGTGGCTGACAAATTGAGCATGATGGACTAGTCTGTAATTGAACGCTTATGTAGTTTCTAATAAAGTAGCCGGTGAGTGGAAGTGCAAGGTAGGTGTTTCTATTAAAGTGGCCAGTGAGTGGAAGTGCAAGGTAGGTGTTTCTATTAAAGTGGCCAGTGAGAGGAAGTATAACATAGGTGTTTCTAATAAAGTTGACAGTGAGAGGAAGTATAAGATAGGTGTTTCTAATAAAGTGACCAGTTAGTGGAAGTACAATGTAGGAGTTTCTAATAAAGTGGCCAGTGAGTAGAAGTGCAAGGTAGGTGTTTCTATTAAAGTGGCCAGTGAGAGGAAGTATAAGATAGGTGTTTCTAATAAAGTGGGCAGTGAGAGGAAGTATAAGATAGGTGTTTCTAATAAAGTGGGCAGTGAGAGGAAGTACAATGTAGGAGTTTCTAATAAAGTGGGCAGTGAGAGGAAGTACAATGTAGGAGTTTCTAATAAAGTGGCCAGTGAGTAGAAGTGCAAGGTAGGTGTTTCTAATAAGGTGGACAGAGAGAGGAAATACAAGATAAGTGTTTCTATTAACGTGGCCGGTGAGAGGAAATACAAGGTGTTTTAAATAAAGTGGACAGTGAGAGGAAGTATAAGATAGGTGTTTCTAATAAAGTAGCCAGTCAGTTGAAGTACAATGTAGGAGTTTCTAATAAAGTGGCCAGTGAGTGGAAGTGCAAGGTAGGTGTTTCTATTAAAGTGGCTAGTGAGCGGAAGTACAAAGTGTTTCAAATAAAGTGGACAGTGAGAGGAAGTACAAGATAGGTGTTTCTAATAAAGTGGCCAGTCAGTGGAAGTACAATGTAGGAGTTTCTAATAAAATGGCCAGTGAGTGGAAAAGCAACATGGATGTTTCTTATAATTTGGAAGAGAGAAAATTATTTGGCTGGTATGTTTTTCAAAATGTATTTATGCGTATTACTCTGTTATTTTTTGCAGGGCATGTACATCAAATCCACATATGACGGCCTTCACGTAATTACGGGGACCACTGAGGGAGTAAGAGTCTGCCTATATTCTTACAAATGTGTGTGTGTGTGTGTGTGTGTGTGTGTGTGTGTGTGTATGTGTTCATGTAAGTGTGTGTGAGTGTAAGTTTTAAATGCAGTGTCTCTAAATGTTCTTTGACATTGCTAGGTCCCCCAGGGCGTATACAACTTGAAACACCTGCTCTTACATTTTGCTTAATTATTTCTCACTCATAATTTAAATATGCATAGAAATTCTGTTGAAAGTGCAGATTCTAAACTTGCAATTGATACCATAATTGTGATTGTAAGTAGATTAGGAGATATTTTACTAAGATTTGAATTTGATGAAAAGTTATTGTTGTGTGTGTTTCAGCCATGCTTTTGTTATTTCCTGACATCAAAACAAAGAAAAAAGACAGAAATGCAGATTCAAATCTAGATGATCTTGAGTCACTTATTGTGAGTTAGTTGCAGTCTAGTCTTGAGTCTTGGGATGTGAGTCAAAGTTGAGTCTAAAAGTGTGAGTTTGAGTCGTGAGTGTGAGTTTGAGTCGAGTGTCGAATCTCTGAGGTGCGATTCAGAGTCTCTGGGGTGTGTGTCTGAGTCGAGTCTTGAATCTCTGCAGTGCGAGTTTGAGTCCAAGTCCCAGATGTGTGTATTCAGAGTCCAAGTCCCAGATGTGAGTATGAGTGGAGTATCTGATTTGCTAGTCCGAGTCGGGTATTAAGTCTGTAGGCTACGAATCCGAGTCTCAGGGGTGTGAGTCTGAGTCGAGTATCAAGGCTCTACGGTGCGAGTTTGAGTTCATGTCTCGAGTCCCTGGTATGTAAATTAGTATCTATATGACAAGAATATCAAATCTCTGCGTTGTGATTCAGAGTCAAGTATCAAATCTCTGGTTTGTGAGTCTGAGTCGAATACCACATCTCAGAGTTATGAGTCTGAGTAGAATATCAAAACTCTGAGTTGCGAGTCTGAGTTGAGTATCAAGTCTCTGGGTTGCAGGCCGAGTCTCAGGGATGTGAGTCAGAGTAGAGTCTCTAGTCTCTAGGGTGTGAGTCTGAGTCGAGTATCAAGTCTCCGGGATGTGAGTCAGATTAGAGTCTCTAGTCCCTGGAATGTGAGTCAGAGTAGAGTCTCTAGTCTCTGGGGTGTGAGTCTGAGTCGAGTATCAAGTCTCAAGGCTATGAGTCAAAACCCAGTATCAAGTCTTAGGGGTGTGTGTCTGAATCGGACATCAGATCTCAGGGGTGTGAGCCTGAGTTGAGTGTCAAGTCTCGGGGTGTGAGTCTGAATTGAGTCTCAAATCTCTGGGGTGCGAGTTTGAGTCGAGAATCGAGTCTCAGGGGTGTGAGTGTGTCAAGATTCTGAGGTATTTCTCTGGTATGTGTGTCTGAGTCTCTGTGGAGTCGAGTCTTGAATCTTTAAAATGCAGGTTCGAGTCAAGTCTCAAATATCTGACGTGAAACAGTTGGTTAGTCTGTAGTTTTTATAGCAAGTATGCTATAATAGCTAATCCAGCGTAAGATTTATTAGGTTTTAAAGGAATGTGATCTGTGACTTTTTGGAAAACTTGATATCGATTCTAAATTTTAATCAACTGTTTCAAGTTTTGTCTCTTTACTATAAAAATACATTTACTGCATGTAGTGCTTAGTTTAATCAGTCAGACTGAAGGTTTTATTATAATTAAAGACTTGTTATTTAAAGCCATATCAACCCTGCAGGACATCAGTATTGCAGTAACGACAACACATGACCTAGCAAAGTTTCATCAGGCTGAAAATTCACAATTTTTAAGTCTTCAGTCTGAGTCGAGAGACGAGTCATTTAAGAGCGAATCCGAGTCAACTCGCAAGTCAGTCAAATCCCCATCTCTTACCGCTTACATGACTAATCATATAATTGCATAATTACATTTAAATAGTTTGGCGAAATGTCATTCTTTTATCACAATGCTAATCCTTTCATCTATGAGGGAGAGAGAGAGAGAGAGGGAGAGCAAGTGAGCTGGAGAGAGATGACAAGATACAATGTCCCACTACACCAAGAAAAAAACATGAAACAAAAGGGACGTGTGTGGGACAGGACCAACACAAGCCCTGACTAATTGAGATTATGTTAGTGTAACTGAGATGTGATGGCTTTGATGTTTGCCTGTTAGACGCAGAGGGATTTAGAAGGAGAGTCAGAGAGAGATGGAGGGATAAGGGAGAGGAAGAAGGGATGTTTGCACAGATGTGCAGAAGCATCCGTGGGCGACCACAGTCCCTCATCTGCATTAACACTTGATTAGAACTAATTCCTATTTCTCTCTTTATTGCTCTATTTTTCGTTTAGATTTTGTGTACAGTGGAGTTTATCTTTCAGTTATGTTAGTGAGAGTATTTTACCTTTTGCTTTCATGATATATTGAGGCTTTTTAAAGCCGAACGATAAAAATCAAAACTTTACTGAACAATAACAAATAATAATCTTTCAAAGATTCCAAGACACTTGACCTAGGAAACCTTTACAACCTTTTTTTTTGCTAGATCAATACAAATGTTGTTTTGTTCCAGCCAGTCTGTAAAGCATCTTACAGCCCATTTTGTTTGACAAATATTCGGTTCATTTCTGGCTAATTACAGGTTTTTTTATGTGTTCTTCTGTCACAGCTGCTGACTGAAAAGCTGCTCAGTGGTGATGACAGTTTGGGAATTTAGTGTTGTCTCATCTTTAGAGTCTGACCAAATCAGCTGTCGGTCAAATGTGATCTTAATCATTTTCTGTTTGTGGCAAAGTAAGAAGTAAAAACGTTCAAATGGCGTGAGCATCTTCTACAGCTGTCAAAGTCGTTGCTTAGCAACAGCGGAGTGATACAGTGTTTGTGAAAAAAACGTGATGTTATGGCGAAATAACAGCACAGTTAGAGCGCTTCTCAACTAATCAGCTTGCGTGGCCGGAACTAACTGTTGTATAATACAAAGTTATCGAGCAGTTTACGATCACTGTGATCTACAACTACATATCCAAACAATATATCAGAGTAGGGAAACACGCTTTCCGGACATTAGGAATAACATGCCTTCTAATAATGCAGAATGACTGACCAGTGAGCAGAGCAGAGCAGGCGAGGAAAGCAAAAGAGTGTTTTTTGCTGCACTCTTAGTTAGCCATGTTTTTCTCTTGAACCTCTCTGGATTGAAGGAGCAGTTTTTGTTTTTTCCAGACTGAATGATGTTGAAATCCTCTGGCTGGGGTGTCCCAAACATTTAATCCCTAATTTCTGCTCCAAAAGCAGGAACCAAATTTAACGTTTATTACATTTTCGAGTCGACTCATTATATTGCCTTGCTGTTATGAGTGGCTACAACAACTGATGAGGAACAATGGCAAGCTGCATAGCAATGCCCACACTCTAAACAACGCTTACTGAACATCTGGACGTATGTAAATGTAAAAATTTTTTTTTGTTGAAAGCATGTTGAACATTGTCATATGTAATAAACGCGCAACAATGTTAATTATGAAGAAAAAATATATTAGTTGCCATAGTAAATAATTGATGTCATGCAGTGCTCTACGGCGACATTTGGTGGGGCCAGGCCCCGCTGGCCCCTAATGTAGAGACACCCCTAAAGAAACCATTTCAGAAAGCCTGCTGTTGTCTATATGGTAAGGAAAGTGCACATTTTAATGCACAACTACTATATATTTGCTGAATTTAACATATTCGGGAAAAACTAAAATAAAATATGGCCTGTGCAAAAGATATGGCTCTTTTTATATTTTGTTTTTTCAGCAAATAAATCGAAATTATGCACTATAATTTTAGAAAGATGCCATGTCTCTGTAGATGATGTGTTAACTTATTTTCACTTAGAAAATCAACAAGATGTCAAGTTTGGACAGAATTCACATGCGTGCGAAACAGAGTCCAATATCCAAAAAAAGGTCAAACATTATGTGGCAAATAATGCATATATAATCATATGCAAAAGTTTAGTTTGGTCAAATCCTGTTTTGTTGATGTTCTAAGTGAAAATAAGTGAACACATCCTCTACAGAGAACACACTTCTGCACATTTTAATGCACAACTACTATTTATTTGCTGAATTTAACATATTGGGGAAAAATATAATATAATAGTTATGGCTCATTTTATACTTTGTTTTTCAGCAATAAATCGAAATTGTGCACTATAAGAGGACGTGTTATCTTATTTTATTTAGAAAATCAACAAAACGTCATTTGACCAGGAAGTATCCAAGCTTTTGCATACAACTGTAAATGGGGGTCATTATCTTCATGGAAACTGACATCTTATCACCGATGATTCATTACAAAAGTACATTTTAATTGTTGACTTTTTAAAAGTCTAGTTTTGTTGAATAATTGTGACAATCCTACAGGACCCACTAAATAAATATGCCATGTTAGCCAATTGGCTAATTTTTTAAACAGTGACTGTATGAGGTAACTGTCTTATTCTTCCTCTCTTTTTCTCTGTCTCTCTTTCTTCCTCTCTTTTTCTCTGTCTCTCTTTCTTCCTCTCTTTGTCTCAGTCTCCAGCTGACCGTTGTAAAAAGATCCATGCTGGTGATGAAGTCATCCAGGTGAACCATCAGACAGTGGTGAGGCTCCATAGTTTATTCTCCTGCCTCATTCTCTCCATCCGTCCTTCCATCTGTTGCACTCTTCACCACCCAGTGCGTCTTCATAGTCACTGGCAGAAAGTAGCAGTCAGTCCTATCTTGTGCGGATGCATGCTTTTCAACGGCCAATCAGGAACAGCAGATATACATATCTAATATCCATTAGCGCCTGATTTTGTGTGGAAGTGAGGGAGTATAAGGGAGTATATTTATTAGAGAGGAACACTCAGGGCCCTTCTAGGCTTTCACAGAAGTCTTAATGATATATGACAACTAAAAATACATTTCATTTTTTTTTTTCAAGTTTTGGCTGGAAACAAAAAGGTTAAAATTTTGAAACAGCCAATGGAGAACTGTTCAGTCAGAATGGAGATACAGTCAAGTCACCTCTCCCATTGGTTAGGCCTTTAGGATCTAGATTGAAGGCCTAATTTGTCTGAATAACCACTAACTTAATTAGTAACTGACAGTTTGATTAACCACTTCCATTTTGATTTACAATAGGTGGGGGCGGGACCAATTTAAAAAATCACTCTAGGCCTTCTGAAAGTACTAGATATAAGTCTAGCCAGATTTTAGTCAGTTGTTAGAAATGGAAAAGGTAGAGAAAAACTGCAACAATTTTTAGACGCCGTCTTTTTCAGACGTCCATGCTTATTTCTACATGACAACAGCCTGGCCTACCTGCAGTTCAGAACTGCCTACCATTGAAAATGTTTTTCTTAATAAGCTCAAAATACATCAACAAAGGCCTTATACAGTTGCACAGCTCAAGACAAAATTGATCAATCAGTCTCTTCAGTCTTAGTTATATTAAATTATTAGTGTTGTCAAAAGGAAAGGTGATGTGACGCAAAAGTAAACATGCTCCTGTCCCAGCCTTTTTGGAATGTGTTACAGGCATCATGTTTGGAATGAGCATATATTTACAAAAAACTGTGAAGTTCATAAGGTAAACTATTAAATATTGTGTTCTCAATTTATTAGGACAAACAGAATTTACTAATTGTACAGGTGAGCTGTAGTTATAATATAGTGCATTCTATACCTGTGTATTTTTAAATGAGAGCTTATTGTACTTTCATATGATTTAACCCCTAAAACTGCCAGCTTATTATACAGTTGTAAATCTTGCATTATTCAGTATCTGCTGTAAATTATTGAGGAGCTTCTATGGAGCCAATGAGTAAGTTATGTAGTTATGAGAGTGAGGAATTGAATTGTGGGCTGCATACAGGCCCTCAGGGTTTAAGAGGTTAAGGGATTGTAATCATGGGAAGTTAGCTGTAAGCTGCAGTGTGGAGAGAGTTTTGAGCTGTATCACTGACGTATATGTGACTATGGAGACCGTAATGTGTGTGTGTGTGTGTGTGTGTGTGTGTGTGTGTTCACAGAGGTGCTTTCTTTATCTGTGAGCAGCATTGTTGGGGTGAGGGGGTGGGATTGCTTTGACGTAACAAGGGGTTGGCTGAGTTGTGTGTATATAAGAGGGCGGTAAATGACATCAAAGTTGGCCATTCCATTTGAAGGGTCAGTGTTCTTTGCTTAATACGAGGTGATGAATAATTTTGAGTCATATCCTGGACGTTGAGTGTCCTTGGGGCTTTGCATTGTTTTGAAAGGCAGGGTTAGAGGTGTAATTTCGCAATGCGATATGCATTGAGGTTTTTGTGTAATACATAGTTGAAAAAGAAACAGCAATATTCATATTGCTTTTATTTTTTGGTTATAGTCCAATTACAAAATCAAGACACTCACAAACGGTGGTCCTTTAGATGGGAGAAGTTTGGTGCCCGGTGATGCCATAGCCATCCATAATGAGGAGGCCAAGAGAGCATAATTGGCCTCATTCTCTCTGGGTTGATAGAATGACCCTCACTCTGCCTCCATCACTCACCACGATGCTAGCCACCATGGGCTAGAGCTTCAGGAATCAGGCCTGAAATTTTGGTCCGAATTCAAATAGAACCCAAAAAGTTTTGTTTCTTTGCCTGATCCCACCCAAACCACATCATCAAGTTTTGAGTCTGAAACCATAAAATAAATTCATTCCAGAACTAACCTGCACTAGCCCATCATCACTAAGGCACCACGTAAAAGCATGATATTTTCAGTGGTAGCTCAGACTAAATGACTGTGTGGCCCTGCCCCGGGGCCAACAGTAGATCACAGACAAATAAAATAAAAAATAATCTAATATAACACAATATAATAAAATAGTGAGCTGTCCAAAACTGAGTTTAAATCCAGCTTTAATTAATTAAATAGCAAGCAATGCTTTTGAACAACTTCCCAAAGTTTTTTTTAGTCTGGATAAACTTTCCATAATGTCCTGTTTGCTGTGAGTTGCTGATATAGCAGTATGTTTGCCTTCGCCCTGTTAATCCTAAAGCTCTATATCTTTACATAGAATATGTTACATATAATATACTGAACATATACACTGTTAGAAATAAAGGTTCTGTGCAGGTACATTTTTCATTCTAATGGTACAGACAATGTAAATGTTCCCTCAAAGGTACAACAGTGGCTTTAAGGTCCAGTTGTGAACCTTCAATAAGTTTTTTTTCCCAGTGGAAAATATATAATTTTACCTTTTCATAACCCAATGTTTTGAAACAGAACAATAAAATAAAAAGCCTGGACACAAGACAGGGTGTGTGGAGTCAGTACAGCTTAGGAAATATCATTTCAGTGGATTATGGTACAGTTATGTTCCCTGACTAAAGGTACTGAGATGTACCCTTAAAGGTACTACCCCAGTGACAGGAGGGGCACTGCCCCAGTGACCGTTCCGTTCTGTTTTTTCTGAGAGTGTAACATAAAAAATACTCTACAAACAAATTAAATGCCTTTTGGCTGCACTAAACTGTACGTCCCTGGATCAGTTTGCTGTTTGTATCTAATTTCTTACAAGCCTCTGTGATCTTAGCAGTGAATTCTGTCAACAATACAACCTCATTCCTGTGTGCTAGATTAAAAATGTTTTAATGTTTTAAGGCAATGAAATTAGAGAGGTTATGTGTATATATCTGGGCAGGGCATTACATGCTTATAAGCTTAAGCTTACAAAAACTTACAAAACCAATATTATTACAATAAATACAGTAAGTAGTTATTTTATGTATTAACCATTTCCAAACCTCTCCTCATGGCAGCCCAGTGCTAAATGTCATTGTCATTCAGTACCTTGTTTGGCTAATCAGTGCTTCTTTATGCTAAATCAGGTGTACTGTTAATGGAACTTACACTCACGTGATGCCTCTGGAGATCCAGATGTCCACACTTCGGTCTTCTAAGTAGCTTACAAGAAATTCTTGTTAGTTTTTGCTCTATTTATGTATGTTTGAATTTATTATAATGAGATGGTGTTTTTATTGCCAAAAGCACACTTTTTGCCAAGATAAAGAATTTGAAAATTTTGGAAAGACGCAGTGGCACTTCATGCATCTCAGTGGATGCTCATGCTAGCCTATTCTACGTAGGCATTGTTCCGATATTATTCTGATATATCAGATATTACAAATATGTCAGTATTTATGTGAGCTTGTTTGAAGTCACAAATATATTTTTTGTATTTCATCCACGATGCATATTGTGTCACAACCCCCACAATATAAACATTAATCTGTGTATCCTAATCACCCCTAATCACCCCGCCGGTCACCCTTCACTACTCGCTGTTTGGTTTTCATCTGTCCAAATGATACACTGTTAGAACGGTGCGAGTGTTTTGTTTGTCACCTGTGGCCTTTTTTAATTCATTCTTTCAGCTTTCAGTCCGCAAATGTTTGTTTATCTCCGCCCGTGGCCGCTCTGTCACTGCAGCTAAGTGGCGCCGTGCTCTTTTCCTGATGAAAGATCAACAAGACTGGAGCCTCATTAATCCTAAATTAATTAGCACATTGTCATCTCCATTATTGGGAAAAGCACAGCTAATGTGTGATAAGGGACTCATGTTTGGAATCACAACAAAAAAATCCTTTAGCAATAAATAAACAAAAGCCTCAACGCAGCGAATACAGTAATCCTTTAACGAGGCACAAACACACCTTACCAGGAACAATTACCCAAGGAAAACAGCTCGGTGGAATCGCTCAGAGCCACTGAAATGATGGAGCTTTTGCTATACACATCTTTTATAGTGTTTCTCTATAGTGGCCATTATGGGTGGGCGATATGGCAAAAATATAACATCACGATACTTTTGAGTATCACAATATTTCACACAGGAGGAAACAGGAGGAAAAATATAGCTGGTTATAAAAATAAATCAATTGCTACTTTTTATTATCCAGTTTATGTAATTGATACATACTGGTTGTTGTTGTTGTTGTTGTTTACAAACTCCCTATAATTGATCTATCCATGTTCTGCCCACAGATACATTCTTCTGTAGCAACTGTTGAACAAGTTTTGTAGAACAAACAATCTTTATTTACATTCTTAAAAAGCATGGTTCTTCAAGGGTTCTTTAGTAAAGACAGTAGAACCATGAACACTAATAGAACCATTTCAGGCTTTGCCTGGTGAAATGGTTCTTCAGACTGATGGCGAATGTGTTGTTTATGTTTCTATATAGCACCAGAAACGGTTGATATCGTAGCAGAACCTTTTTTGGTGCTGTATAGAACCGTTTTCAAAAAGGTTCTATATACAACCACATACAACACATTCTCCATCAATCTGGAGAATCATTTTACCATGCAAAGAGCCATTAAAGCATGCAGATGGTTCTTTGAGTGTTCATGGCTCTATATAGAACCATTATCTTTACTAAAGAATCTTTGAAGAACCACCTTTTTTGAAGTGTAGAAGTGCTATATAATGATGATTTTGCAGTTTATAATGGGCTTCTGAGCTGGACTGTGTTGTTTTAGCTCATCAAAACTAGGAACATTAGCGCTGAATCTGTCATCATGGTAACGTTCACTCAGTTACATGACAGTAAACTACATCTGTGACCTTTTGCTCATACA